GGGCGAATTGCTCAACAGGGAGGCGTTTCGGGAAACGAGCAAGTCTCAAAATACCACAGTTACTTTGCTCATCTGGAGTTGGGGTAAACGGTCGGATTACGCAACGCAAGGCTATGCCATCCAGAGACCTAGTTTTCACTTTACATAAGTGGCGCTCAGTCAACTCCACCCTTGGCTGTACTCGAACTACCGGTTAAATTTTTTAAATTGTGTATCGAATAAATATTTATAAGTTCTAAAATATAGCTCTTTTCCCCAGACGGTCATAGACTGCCATGAAATACTGTCTAATTATTAAAATAAAGCGTAAAATCTATAGTGATGAAGAGACGAATCTGTGATCAATGATGTAAAGGTGATCGACCAGCTGTTATTCAACAAAATATTTGGTAGGATCGGAGATGTGGTCCAATTAATGTTCTTGTGTTGAAACTACGCCAAGCTTTCGGTGTTTTATTTCACCTTCCACTAGTACTTAAAATTGTTTTCTCTTATCAACATGTATAAACCTTTTTCTCTCTTTTTATCATTTCTTATTTTTTATACTAAATACAATGTTTTTTAATAAATAAATAAATGGCACTTTTTACAAACTGCTATCATAGACAAAATCAGAACGTAAACCTTTCAGAGTTCTTTATTCAGAAATCGTGAGATGCGGTCTGGTGTGATGTAGGTTTCAGAAAAACATTTTCTTTATCGTGCCAACGTTTCGATCTTTATTGAGATCATCTTNTGAGCCCTGAAGATGATCTCAATAAAGATCGAAACGTTGGCACGATAAAGAAAATGTTTTTCTAAAACCTACATCACACCAGATCGCATCTCACGATTTCTGAATAATTATCTATTAACGGTAACTAATCACCACACCTTTCAGAGTTCGTTTACGTTCTGAATTTTGTCTGTGATGGTGCTTTGTAAAAAGTGCCATTTATTTAATTATTAAAAAGCATTGTATTTGAAATGAAAAATAAAAAATGATAAAAAGAGAGAGAAAACAGTTTTAAATACTGACTGTGAGCCTAGCCCTGAGGAAGGTGAAATAAAACACCGAAACCTTGGCGTAGTTTGAACAGAAGAACATTCATTGAACCAAATCCCAGATCCTACCAAATATACTGATAAAATGTAGTTACCCAAAAATTACTAGTAAATATAGCTCTTTCGTGACAAGGAAGAAACTAGGGGATTTATATTATTAACTAAAGAAAACTTTCTACTATCTGCTTCTTAAAATATCAAATCATAATCAAAATTTTCATCGTAGATTTCACTAGACAGGTAAAAGAAGTTGAATCCTGAACAGAAAGAAATTTATCATTGTCTGGGAGAAATTGAACAACATAAACCACCTTGATCCAGCCATTTTAACATATACGGAAAACCAACAGACATCATGAACGACCGTCATCACAATCATCAAATTCCAATAAAGTGCAACAACAATACAAACAAGGCAAAACAAGATCGTATAATTATTAAATTAGCGGATAAAGTAGCGAAAACCAAGCGATAAGACGAAGAGTGGGCCTGAAAGACAACAAATGGTATAAGAAATCTCATCTGATAGCCAAGATGCGCTCAAAGTACTGTCAAATTTGAACCTGAAAATTGTACGCCTTATTAAAATATCTGAAGTTTTAAATTTAATAATAAATTTTCATTGCACTTACAAAGAAAAAAAGAAAGAGAAAAAAGGTTATTCTTGAAATATTTACAATTATACAGTTAATAATGATTATTCGGAGATCGTGAGATGTGGTCTGGTGTGACGTTGGTTTTAGAAAAACATTTTCTTTATCGTGCCAACGTTTCGATCTTTATTGAGATCATCTTCAGGGCCTGGCAATTATAAACATTGTTTAAATTTTACCAATACATGTAGGATGTGGAAAAAATGAATTTATACAATGCTAGAAAATTTGATACTAAACAAAATTAATTTATACAATGCTAGAAAATTTTAGATAAAAAATGAATTTATACGATGCTAGAAAATTTTAGATGGGAAAAAATAAATTTATACAATGCTAGAATTTTTCCGCATCCTACATGTATTTGTAAAATTTAAACATTGTTTATAAATCCCAGGCCCTGAAGATGTTCTCAATAAAGATCGAAACGTTGGCACGATAAAGAAAATGTTTTTTTAAAACCGCATCTCACGATCTCCGAATAATCATTAACTAACGGTCACTAAACACCACACATAATAATTATACTTGAGTAATTTTTTTTATTAATAAAATAATTATACTAAATTTTTGAAAAAATGTGTAAACTAATTGGCGTGGTTTTTCCTTCCGGAAATACAATCCTCTAATTGATTTGATTTTAATTTACATTTGTATTTTTTATTTATTTATTTGATATATTGTTTTTGTATTGAATAAGCGGTAGTCAGAAGTTTTATCGGGATTAATATAGCTCTTATTTAGGCTCCAAAAGCAATCAAACTGGATAGGAAGTAAACAATTCGGGTTTGAACACACAACCGTAATTAACAAAATCAGACACCCATTCTTAGAAATTGGGACTGACTAAATGATCTCGGAAACATTCTTAACAACATTCTATAAAGTCTCAACGGACTATAAAGGAGAGGAAGAACTCAGGAGAGCATCACATATATGACACTGTATACAGCTGGCTCCAAAACGAACGAAGGAACCGGGTGGTGTTTACTGTACAAGCCCAAAATATGAGCAATCAAACTCATTAGGGAAGTACGCTTCAGTCTTTCAAGCACTGATACGTTATCAATGCTTCAGTCCTAGAAAATCTTAAAAATGTTACACTGGCAATATAATCCTCATTAGATCTGATAGTCAAGCAGCCATTAAAGCATTAGCATGTAAAAAATCACATCAAAATTAGTCAGTGAATGCATCACCAGGAGAAACAACATCCATGATATCTTGGGTGCCAGGGCACGAAGGAATTTTGGGTAACAAAAAAGGCAAGAAGAGGATCCCCAAAACCATACATAGGCCCCCGAATCTATACTCGCGATAACACAAACAAATATAGAATCCTCCATCACCGAATGGATCTAAATAAAGCAAAAGGAGAAGTTCATAAACTCTAGCGGTCCTAGACATAGTAAACTTACGTTAAAACAACCCTCATCAACACTGGCAATCTCATTGCTGCAGTTGGAGAGGGCCAGACTCAGAGAAGTGATAGGACTATTAACCGGTCACTGGCATCTGAGAAAACATCTACACATCATGGGCATAATATACAACGATGATCCCATCTGCTAAACTAGGGAATGACATTGTAGCAGCAACAGTCAATGACCTGATACTTCTAAGAAGAAGGATTGAGTCGATTGCATTGAATTAGGGAACTAGGAACGAACAGTAAGGCAGAAGGCTGCAGTGCCTGGGGAGCACAAACCCCGCTTCGTTGTATCTTCATTACCATTACCATTAACATAGCTATATAACGAGTAGCCAAGTATTGTGTCATCTGATTCCAGCCAGGACGATCCTAGAGTCGAACAACCTCATCCGGCTTAAGTGTTTGACAGTTGAAAGCAATTTCTCTCAATCTCGATGTAGGACGAGTATCTATAAGTGGTATAGATCCTCTCGTGGCACATAGGACATGTAGTTGGATACGGCTTAACGTTCAACATGACAAGTTAACCACGAAGTCTAAATAAGCATCTTGCTGTGTATAAATCCACTGCAAGTCCCCTTAATAAGCCTGTACACTTCACACCTTCAGCCAGTCCTCTGTAAAGCGTAAAGTTTTCAGAAGTCACCGCTCTTAAACCGAAAGAGGCTTTCTTTTTCTCTTTGAAATCCTACAATATCTTTTTGCAACCACTTGCAATACTTTCGGTTTGAATAGACCGAATTATTGAAAACATCATACTTTTCAATCAGAGATGTCCAATCTTTTGCCTAGAAAATCCTGTACAATTTCGGTAGCCACTATCTTAGTAAGGCCACATACGGAATCTACCATATTAGCCATTAATACGATATAATTCAAGTGCAAATTCATGGTGTATACAGTATTAATTTCCGTCTCCAAGTAAATAATGTAATTAATAATGTCATACCCCATACTTGGGCGCGTAGCATAACACTGCTC